TGCCAGGTGCTTTGTCACACCGTGACGACTGCTGCTGATGATGATGGTGGTGTTGGTGGTGAAGGGATGGAGACGATGAGGTAGGGAGCGAGGTGGGGGGGGGGGGTAGAGGCGTATAGGTGGTGGAGGTGAGGTTTAACGATCTGCCCGACACCATCACTCACAGTTGTGACGATCCATCCCCCTCCGCGGTTCGACCGCCACGATTCAACTCAAGGATCGCCGGCGCTCTGGGTGAGTGGAGCGACTGCTACCCGCGTGGACTCCACCGCGGCTGCAGACTTGCGTGGTCCAGCGCCGCACCCGGCAGTGGTCCTTGCACGATTCGTGGCGACGTCGATTGCCATCGATCCTCATCCACTCACGGCGACAACCCCACCAGGGCGGACGCCGACTCTCCGCTACGAGTGGCGAGTCTGTGGGGTCATCCTGGGGGGGGGGGGTCTGTGCCCCCTAATAAACAGCATTTCGCCCTTACCCCCCCCCCCCCCACACACACACACACGGTGTGCCCCTTATTAAAGGGCAACTCCTCGGGGTGAATGGAGAGGCACTCAAGTTCAAGTCGAAGAGGTCACCACGGACAATCCCGATAGCGCCGAGCGCCGCCGCCCGCGGTGAGCGGCGAAGCCCAGGGGGAGTCTCGGGGGGGGGGGGGGGGGGCGCCTCGCGGAGTGACCGACACGAGCCCCACGTGAGTAGAGGCGGACAGGCTTTATTATAAAGTGCTGGAGAGAGAGAGAGGGAGGGAGGGAGGCTCCGAAGGTGCGCGCCCCGACCACGGAATCGCGGTGCCCTCTCATTCACGAGAGACGGAGAGAGCGACATTGGAGAGAGAGAGAGGGGGGGAGAGGCAGGGAGAGGCAGGGAGAGGCAACACAACCCAGGGAGATGTCAAAGATGAACGCCGCGTGCACCGCGCGTGGTGTCGCTATTGTTGTTGTTGCTGTTACTATCGAGTGTGCAGGCGGTGCAACTGCGCACTCGATAGATGAGCCAAGGTGCCAGGTTACGAAAAGGGGGGGGAGGCATTGGACAGTGCCCCCCCCCCAATTTGCATTGCTGCCCCAGGGCCCGTGCCGACCACGCGACGCGTGAACCCTGCACCGTTGGAGGTGTTGGGGGGGGGGGTCCCCCCTCTGGGTCTGACCGCCCTGACTCAGGGCGAGTGAGGCGGCGGGACCAACCGAGAGGGGGTGATGCTGCGAGTCAGAGTAACAACCCCGGCATTCATCAACTAGCATCACCCCCTCACCACCGACTCCCGCACCACCACCACCACCTCCTCCACGCAGATCGGTTACAGGAGCGCGGGGATGCGCAGGAGCGAGGGAAGGGGGCAGACCCCCCCCACCCCCACCCTCCCCCCCCCTGCACCGTTGCCTGCCCCCCTCCCCCCAACCGCGCTCCCTCCTCCTCCGACGCCGCCCGCCCGTCCGTCCGTCTGTGCTTGGCGACGGGGTCGGGGGGAGGTAGTGAAGAAGAGAGGAGCGAAAGAGAGTGACAGTGAGCGAGAGAGAGAGGGGAAGAGGAGGAGGAAGAGGAGGAGGGAGCTCGAGAAGAGAGCGGGGGGAGGGAAGAGTGAAGTGGACGGAGAGAGATGACACGCGGGAGAGGGGGAAATGAAACAGTCATGGACAGAAGAGCGAGACGAGCGAGAGGAAAGAAAAGAGATTGGAGAAGCAGGGGGAAGAGGTTAGGGAGAGAAAGGCGAGAGGAGTGCAGTGGCGTAGCTCCCGAGTGTGCAGGCGGTGGAACTGCACCGAAGGGGGCCAGGCGCCGGGACACGAAGAGGGGGGGGGGGGGGGGTGTTCACTGGCACGCGCCAGGGTCTGTGCAGCCACCTCGCTGGAGAAGGGTGGACGGGAGGCGAGCGAGAGAGAGAGAGAGAGCGACATGGAGTAGGAAGAGAGGGGGGTAGAGAGAGAGGGAAAGGGTAAGAGAGAGAACACGAAAGCGATGAAGTGAGAGCAGAGAGAGAGAGAGGAGGAGAAGGAGGAAGTGTGGAGGCAGATGGAGCGTAACGGGGATACAATGTAGAAAAGAGAGAGCAGAGAGTGAAGGGAGAGAATGGAAGTAGAGAGAGCGTAGAGAGAGAGAGAACAGAGGGGGGTAAGAAACGGGAAAGAGAGGGGAGAGAGCGCAGCGGATGTGGCGGTGCGCCCGGGAGCGTGCACGAGGTCATGCATAGATAGATACGTGGGGGCCGTGCACCGCGCTCAGGCTGTCGCGTCGCAATAACACAGAGAGACAGAGAGAGAGAGACAGAGAGAGACATACAGACAGAGAGAGATAGACAGAGAGAGATACACAGACAGAGAGAGACAGGGAGAGAGACAGAGAGAGATACAGAGAGAGAGACATACAGACAGAGATACACAGAGAGAGACACAAAGAGAGATACACAGAGAGATACACAGAGAGAGAGACATACAGACAGAGACATACAGACAGAGATACACAGAGAGAGACACAAAGAGAGAGATACACAGAGAGAGATATACACAGAGAGAGACATACAGACAGAGACATACAGACAGAGATACACAGAGAGAGACACAACGAGAGAGATACACAGAGAGAGATACACAGAGAGAGATAGATACACACAGAGAGAGAGACATACAGACAGAGAGATATACACAGAGAGAGAGACAGAGAGAGATACACAGAGAGAGATACACAGAGAGAGATACACACAGAGAGAGACATACACAGAGAGAGATACACAGAGAGAGAGATAGACGGAGAGACAAACAGAGATACAGAGAGAGGTGCAGAGAGAGATACACAGAGAGATACAGAGAGATACACAGAGAGATACACAGAGAGAGATAGACGGAGAGACAAAGAGTGAGATACAGAGAGAGATACAGAGAGAGATAGATATACAGAGAGATACACAGAGAGATAGACAGAGAGACAGAGAGAGATAGACAGAGAGATACACAGAGAGATACACAGAGAAAGAGATAGACGGAGAGACAAAGAGAGAGATACACAGAGAGATACACAGAGAGAGATAGACAGAGAGAGATACACAGAGAGAGATACACAGAGAGATACGCAGAGAAAGAGATAGACGGAGAGACAAAGAGAGAGATACACAGAGAGATACACAGAGAGAGATAGACAGAGAGAGATACACAGAGAAATACAAAGAGAGATACACAGAGAGATACACAGAGAGAGACAAAGAGAGAGATACACAGAGAGACAAAGAGGGAGAGAGAGACAAAGAGAGATACACAGAGAAAGAGATAGACAGAGAGACAAAGAGAGATACACAGAGAGAGATACAGAGAGAGACAAAGAGAGAGATACAGAGAGAGACAAAGAGAGAGAGACAGAGAGAGAGACAAACAGATAGATGCACAGAGAGAGATACACAGAGAAAGAGTTAGACAGAGATAGATACACAGAGAGAGATACACAGAGAGAGAAAAAGAGAGAGAGATGCACAGAGAGAGATAGACAGAGAAAGAGATAGACAGAGAGACACAGAGAGAGGAAGGGAGAGAAACCCGCGCGCTGTACAAACAGTAAATGTCGCGCGAGTTGTCTTCATGCCATCGGCCAGCGTCTCGTCACGGACGCTGCGTGGCGACCGCGTCCCGCGGCGAGCGACGGCGAGACTCTGGTTCCCTCCGCCGGTAGAGGGGGGGGGGCGTAGCGGGGTTGGTGGGGGGGGGGGGGAGTCATGTTGACACTAAGCGCACCTAGAGGCGTCACAGACACGCGGCGCATCTGTAGTGATTGTTGTTGTTGTTGTTTACGTTTGGCTGATGTCTGAATTAGTTGGCCGCCGTTGCGCGCCGTGGGTGGAGCGGGGCGCGGTGGATGGCGCGGAGGCGCGAATTCCGGCAGAGGCGAGGGGCATTTCGCGAGCTGCGCCCCACCCCCCACGCCCTTCCACCTCCACCCACTCCCCCCCCCCCCTGAACTAAAGATAACACAGAGGTCGCATGCGGCTGCCGTCACGTGGCCGGTGTAATCATCCTGCCACGTGGCCCGCTTGGCTCTTCCTCTCCTGCCGCGTGCCGTGAGCTCTCGGCACGCCACGCCAATGTCCCCCCCCCCTCCACCCCCGCCCGCCTTAACCGTAGCCCCCCTCTCTCAGCGCTACCCTCCAGGGATCATCATCATCATCATCGCCGCCGTCATCGTCATCGTCGTTATGTACAGAGGAGAGTCGCCTGCACGGGGCGATGCGCCGCCACTCGCCGCGGAACCAGCGTCACCTCGGTGCCGGAGCCATGCGTCGTCTAACTCGTTGTTGTTGTTGTTGATGTTTAGGTGCCTACGGAACGAGACGGACAGACGCGAGGGGCGAGGGGGGAAGGGGGTGAGATAGAAAATGGATGTTTAAAACAGTGTGCGTATTCGTCGCCTGGAGAGGGTTTTTTTGCGCCACGCGTCCACGCCGCCGCCGCCGCCGCCGATGATTTTTTTTATTTTCTCAATGCCGCAATATAAATAGAAGACGTCTTGCGTAACCACACAACCCTGATGAAGAGAGTCTCACGCTCCGTGGAAGACCGCGCCGTGGGCTGCCGCAGCATTGTTCGCGAAGCCCCCGACGCTCCGTGCGCGCCCCGTGTCCACTCGCCAGCCGGCGGAGTGGGGGAGGAGGGGGCAGCAGCGGTGACTCTTGAGGTCGTTCGGTGCCGCCTGGTGAGGGTGGTTTTTTGTGGTGGCCATGGTGCTGCTGGTGCTGCTGGTGGTGGTGCTGCTGGTGCTGCTGGTGCTGCTGATGGTGCTGGTGGTGCTGCTGGTGCTGCTGCTGGTGGTGCTGGTGGTGCTGCTGCTGGTGCTGCTGCTGGTGGTGCTGCTGATGGTGCTGCTGGTGGTGCTGCTGATGGTGCTGCTGATGGTGCTGCTGGTGGTGCTGCTGATGGTGCTGCTGCTGGTGGTGCTGCTGATGGTGCTGCTGATGGTGCTGCTGCTGGTGCTGCTGCTGCTGGTGGTGCTGGTGGTGCTGCTGGTGCTTCTGCTGCTGGTGCTGCTGGTGGTGGTGGTGCTGGTGGTGCTGCTGGTGCTGGTGGTGGTGCTGATGGTGCTGCTGGTGGTGAGGAACGTGGGGCCTGCGTCAGGGGTCCCCGCGTTGATCCTCTCATGATCCAAGCGGCGTCCCGACCGCAGCCTCAACAATCCGCGTCCTTTCTGCGAGCAGGGGACACGGCAGAGGCGCGTTACACGCCGAGCATTTACATGGAAGTAGGGGTGGGTGGGGGGGTGGAGTGGAGGGGGGTAGAGGATAGGGACACGCAAGGGGGGTGAGGGGCGGCGGGGCTGGATGGTGGGGACGAGGCGCTCGACATCTGTAATGCGCGACAGCTCCATTACAAAGTCGATCATAGCGAAGACGTCACCACGATTATAACCAACGCGTAGCCAGCGTCCTTCGCGTTGCGCCACGAGGAGTTTTGTCCCCCCCCACCCACCCTTGACAAAGGTGGAGCGCGCAGAGAATCGTCACGGAGTGTCCAGCGTCCCGCCGAGGGCGATGCTGGGGGGGGTTTGGGGGGGGTCTTCCCCCCCTCGCCTCGCTCCACTTTTGTCTCTCATGCAGCCGGCCGATCGGCTCGGATCATCGCGCAACCCCCCCCCCAACCCCCCTCGGGTGGCACGCACGATGCACACTCACACTCGCAGGCTGGCACACGCACATACCACACACACGCACATACCACACACAAGCACATACCACACACACGCACGTACCACACACACGCACATACCACACACAAGCACATATCACACACACGCACATACCACACACACGCACGTACCACACACACGCACGTACCACACACACTCGCAGGCTGGCACACGCACATACCACACACACGCACATACCACACACAAGCACATACCACACACACGCACGTACCACACAAACTCGCAGGCTGGCACACGCACATACCAAACACACGCACATACAACACACAAGCACATACCACACACACGCACGTACCACACAAACTCGCAGGCTGGCACACGCACATACCACACACACGCACATACCACACACACGCACGTACCACACACACGCACATAACACACACCCACATGTACCACACACACTCGCAGGCTGGCACACGCACATACCACACACACGCACATACCACACACACGCACGTACCACACACACTCGCAGGCTGGCACACGCACATACCACACACACGCACATACCACACACACTCGCAGGCTGGCACACGCACATACCACACACGCACCTACCACATACACTCGCAGGCTGGCACACGCACATACCACACACACGCACATACCACACACACTCGCAGGCTGGCACACGCACATACCATACACACGCACATACCACACACACGCACATACCGCACACACGCACGTACCACACACACTCGCAGGCTGGCACACGCACATACCACACACACGCACATACCACACACACGCACATACCACACACACGCACATACCACACACACTCGCAGGCTGGCATACACGCACACACCCAACACGATCACACACGCACGTTACCACACACACTCACACACTCGCATAAGGACAAAGATCCCCCGTAAAGCCTTAAGTAGACTTTTGGGACAAATGCCGTTCGCGAGCACTCGCTTAGCACCGGCACGGTACACGAGGGGGTGGGTGGCCAGCACCACGCCCGGCCGTCTTTGTCTCCCCAGTGGCGATGCTTCTCACACATCCCACCGGGTGCTCATTCGAGGCTGAGTCGTCACTGGCGCTAGCCGTGAGCCGAACTCGGATGGCCGGGTACAGTGCGCTCACCGCCACACTGCACCGCTCCACACATACACACGCTTATAGCACACTCACTAGTACATAGGCGTAAACGCACGCAAGGACAAAGATCCCCCGCATAGCCTTGGCAGACTGTTGGGGCAAGTGCTGTTAGCGAGCACCTGTGAAGGCCAGCACGGAAAATGCACACACATCCGCAAAAACACACACACACTAAACAAACACACACACACACCGCGCACACACACACACACCCGCACAAACACACACACACACCGCACAAACACACACAAAACAAACACACACACACACCCCGCACAAAGCCCCACACTCACCCGCACAAACACACACAAAACAAACACACACGTAAACAAACCATCAAAACAAACACATACACGTAAACAAATACACATCCGCACAAAGCCACACACACCCCCACAAATAAAAATATCCCCCGTATAGCCTTAACAAACTGTTGGGGCAAGTGTTGTGAGCAAGCACCTATGAATGCCCGCACGGCACACGAGGGGGTGATGTGGCCATATCTACGCCCGGCCGCCTTTGTCTTCCGAATGGCGATGTTCACACACCGCACGGCGCACTCATTTGAGGCTGAGTCAACCTAGGGGGAGGGGTCAGGACCGGTTCAGATAATCGTCACTGGTTTTGGTCGTGAACGGGAATCAAACTCGGATCGCCAGGTTCATAGCGCGGTGCACTAACCCCACACAAACACACAAACACCCAAACACACACAAACACACAAACACCCAAACACACACAAACACACAAACACACACACACAAACACACAAACACCCAAACACCCAAACACACACACCCAACCACCCAAACACACACACAAAAACCCAAACACAAACACACAAACACCCACACACAAACACCCAAACACACAAACACCCAAACACCCAAACACCCAAACACACAAACACCCAAACACACAAACACTCAAACACCCAAACACAAACACACAAACACCCAAACACACACACAAACACACAAACACCCAAACACACAAACACCCAAACACCCAAACACACAAACACCCAAACACAAACACCCAAACACACAAACACCCAAACACACACACCTAAACACACAAACACCCAAACACCCAAACACACAAACACCCAAACACACAAATACCCAAACACACAACCACCCAAACACACAAACACACACACACCCAAACATCCAAACACACAAACACAGACACACACAAACACCCAAACACACAAACACCCAAACACACAAACACCCAAACACACACACACACCCAAACACACAAACACACACCTAAACACACAAAACCCAAACACACAAACACACAAACACCCAAACACACAAACACACACACACCCAAACATCCAAACACACAAACACACAAACACCCAAACACACAAACACCCAAACACACACACACACCCAAACACACAAACACACACACCCAAACACACAAACACACACACACAAACACCCAAACACACACACACCCAAACACACAACACACAAACACCCAAACACACACACACACACAAACATACAAACACACAAACACCCAAACACACAAACACCCAAACACACAAACTCCACCCGCCCCCCGGGGTCGCCTCTACATCCATGAAATTAGCATCGTCCTGGTGACCAAAGCGGTGCCCTCTGTGGATTCACGTCTCCTCTAGAACGCCACGTGTGAGTGCGCGCGCGTGTGTGTGTGTGTACTGTGTGTGTGTGTACTGTATGTATGTGTGCGTGTGTGCTTATGTTATGCATGCGTGTGTGTATGCACATTCGTTCGTGCGTGTGCGGGGTGATTGTGTGCCCGGCCACCCGAGTTTAATTCCCACTCACAGCCATAAACGGTAACAAATATTTGAACCGGTCCTGGGCTTCCCCTAGGTCGACTCAGTCTCAAATGAGTACCTGGTTCGGTATGTGAACATCACTACTCGGGAGACAAAGGCGGTCGGGCGTGGGGCTAGTCACCTACCCCCACGCGTACCGTTCCGGCCTTCGTAGGTGCTCGCTAACAGCACTTGCTCCAACAGCCTCTAAAGGCTATACGGAGGATATTTGTCTCTGTATATCTCTATACATGTATGTCTATGTGTGTGTGTGTGCGTGCGAGTGTTGGAGCGGTGGCGCAGTGGTTGTCGCACTGCGTTACGATCATGGCAACCCGAGTATCCCGGTCACGGCGAATGTTGGCCAATGTGCACCGGTATCGGGCCTCGCTTAGGTCAACTCGGCCGGGCATGGTGCTGACCACACCAACCCCATCGGTGTTCGCTATGGCCGGCGGCGTGGCCGCCGCGCCGCTGGGTTCAATCCCCGACTGGGCGCGCCTCTCTGCATGGAGGTTGTTTTCTCTCCCCCCCTGTTCCTCCAGGCTCCTGCTTCCTCCCATAGCTAAGAACGACATCGACGATGTAACTGGGATTGGGACAACCCAAATTACTCAACTGGGTTCACGCAGATCAGCAGCAGCAGCAGCAACGTTATCCGCTGTTGCCTTCACTTGGCAGGACCCTCCCTAAGGAAGAGTCTTGAGACTCAGTGATGCTTTCCTGGGTAAACCGTGTAGGCGCAAACGTGTGTGTGTGTGTGTTTTAAGCATTTATCTCTGCGTTTGTACACTTTTCAACAACAACAACAGCAACGATTTACAGCCCTTTCTCTCACGAGGATTCTTTGACCATACTTCACCAACCCTCTGGGCAGCGCGGGTTGGTGAAGGGAGCAAAGCGGCCAAGACCGGTTCACATTGTGCTCGCCGTGAGCGGTGGCCGAACTCACGTGGCCAGTTTCACGCCGCGGTGCGCTCACCACTGCACCACCACTGCACCACCACGTGTGTGGCTCTGTGTGAACGCGCGTCTGTGCGGGCGGTGGAGCGGTAGCGTAGTGGTTAGCGCGCTGCGGTAGAAATCCCGCCAGCCAGAGTTCGATTCCCGCTCACGGCCAACACCAATGATGATTATCGGTCCTGGGCCTCCCCTAGGTTGATTCCAGCCTCAAATGAGTACATGGTGCAATGTGGATACATCGCAACTCGGGGAGACAAAGGCGGCCGAGCGTCGTGCTGGCCACGCATCCACCCCCTCGTGTGCCGTTCCGCTCCTCTTAGCTGCTCGCTAACAGCACTTGCCCCAACAGTCTGTTCAGGCTACACGGGGGGGGGGGGATCTTTGGCTTTCTTTTGATCTGCGCGAGCGCCTGCCACCCCCTACCGAGTCTCGTCTAACTTCCACAACCGGAGTTCTCACCTGGCTAAACACAACAATAACAACAACAACGGCCCAAGTCTCTGGACGAGAGGAATGACGGGGAGCAACTACGCTGAGTGAAGAAGTGCAGGCATGCCCGTGTGGCCGACACGCGGCGAGG